AGCGCAAGGCTATCTGGAGAGGTCGGTGCTATCGTTTCTGTACGTCACACTTGATTCGTCTCGGCGGTATGAGTGTTCCTCCAGCAAATTGAGGGGAGGTGACCGACCGAAAGCAGGGACGCGTCAGCTTTTCTCCTTCCACAACCGGCAGTCGCGTTCCTACCTGCAGAAATTTTGTTTCAATAAAATTGTATACAAGTGCATGGTTTGGAAGGCGACCGATAACCTCAACAAGGCAGGGACAGCCTTATCTGCCGATAGTCTGCAACGAGAACTACCATGGTAATCGGATAGGAAGAGCCGTGAAAATGCCTGCATTCCAGAAATGAGGACACCATTCAATTATTTCTGTACACTATCAACTAAAATAATGCCTAACATCGTCGAAATCACCGTCGGTGGGTATTAGGTCACTTCCTGTGGAAAGCAACGCGGACATGTCTTGGCGCGGGCGGGAGCGTGAAGGAGAGCGCGCGTGAGCCCTCGCTCAAGCCACGAAAACGGCCCATATCGTCCCTTTTTGGGAGCCTTCGTTTTCCCCGTGGCACGTTTTTGGGAGGAGTGTTCCTTATGACTTGCCATCTTTCATGCCATAAGAGGGCGATTTTTGCAAAGGGCTTATGATGGATCCGCGCACACTGGCTCAGCGGGCGCATGGCCAAATGCAAGCCAATATCCAAGCTATGCAAGATTGGAGCCGCGAACTTACAGCGTGGGAGGAGGTCATGGCAGCCAAAGACGAAGCATTACGACAACGCAAGTTGCGAAGGGAGCGAGGCGAGGAGGACCCCACAGACATTCGGGAACAGGGCAATATTTACTATCGACAGGGTGATCTTAAATCAGCGCTGAGGTGCTACACGAGATCGCTCACGTTGGATGGGTGCGTTGAAGTGTCGAAAACGGGGCAAAATTCACGTCTGATCCTCCCGCAGATTTTTTTCACAATAAAAATCGACTTTGAGGATAGGTCTGATATGATTGTCACAAATTTATACAGGAAAAGTAAGCTTGCATATTCTAATCGAGCCATGGTTCACCTAAAACTTAAAAATTTCGAAGCCGCAGTGGAGGACGCGTCACTGGCGCTAGCATTGGATCCGTCCCACGTCAAGACGTTACAACGCCGAGCTTACGCCTACATCGGGCAGGGCATGCATCATGCCGCTTTACGAGATATCGACAAGGCACTAGGTTATCACCCTGATAACAAGGAACTTCGTGTTGAGAAAAAGCGACTAGAAGAAAAATTGAAGTCTTTGGCACCGATCGAGGTCCTCTCGTCGTCTTCTGTGTCAAACGACAGCGGTGTGGGGCTGACCGGGAATTAGGACGAAATATCACACACAGTCGTAAAAAAAGACTCTCTTGATTTTTCTTCGCATACAGACTATACTTCTTCCTACTTTCAGCTCAGTCTATCAACACGCAAGTGGACTAGTCGGGTCTTGATTTCGAATTTTCACAGAATTCAAACATTATTTTCACAAAATCTCACTTTCATCTGTGGCTCAGTCGCGCATATTAATCACGTCAGCGCCCTAATTCTAAGTACGGACATGCACCGTCCCCCGAAGCTGAAAGCCAATATTTACGCGGCTGGTTTAGCTATGTGGCTTTCCTCTAGACCCGTACCACATGCAATTCTTGTCTGTGTTCCTCCCAATGACTTATTTTCCTGTACCACCACAAAATTCAGTGCTTTTGGAGCAGGCCTTTCCAATTTTAAGCGGAGGAATCGTGGCACATACACGTCCTTAGCGCCTGTCTCGAACAGAGGTTCCAAATCCCCCGGAGCGTTCGTCATGAATGTCAAAATAAGCTCATCTTCGCGCGATAACTCTGGGTGAGCTTTACCCGCGTACGTCATGTAAACAGCTGGATCGTTGAACGGTGGGGGAATCTTGTACACAACCACAGGCTCCCATGCCTCAGTGAGGTCTTCTGCTAGGTAAAGGACGACATTAGAGGAGAGCCAGTCGACTACCACACCGTAATAGGCCCCTAGAGAATGACTGTAACGCACGCTAGTCTCTGAGAAGACAGGAAACACCAAAGGCGCAGCCTTCAGGTGCCGGTGGAGGAAAAGGGGGTACGGGGCCCAGGTGGTGTTGGTCAGGCGCGTGTCCGTGTCGGTGGTTGCTTGAGCCTTCTCGTCCGGGGATCCCTTAGTCAACGCCCACACCTCCATGTCTCGAAAGGAGAGGTCGACCAGACTCCTGACCGGAAGGCGGGAGAGTGTCTCATACTGCCACTGCTGCGGTGGCGTCCCGACGGCCTCCGTGTTATTGACGCCAAACAAATAGATCATGTCCTCCGGGCCCGTGGCGAGCTCTGCGTCCTTGTCTCCATGCATCATAGCCGAGTACCAATTCAGATTCGCGTCCGTTCCCGGCAGATCCCGCTGGCGGTATTCCCACTGTGTAGGGTGGGCGTGCGGATTATCCACGACCAAGACTGTCGTGCCCAGGATATTGAAGTTGAACGCGTTGTCGTCAAAGAGATCCACGGAGGCGGTGTGAGACTTGACGTATGCCCACCGCACGGCCAGAACAATGACTTTACTCACAACGTCTCCCTCCGCGGTGCTGCTGTCGAACTCGCTGCCGCTGTCCCCTCTCCCTCGTTTGCCATTGACGTTGCCTTTTTTCTCGGCCCGGGGCTCCAGGTAGCTGACTCCGATGCCCGAAATGGGCCACAGATAGTCTTGGGTGTGAACGCATTCGTCATCTTGCGGGGGCCCGCGTACGAAGATCGAGACCGGACATCCCCCCTTGGACACGTTCCAGGCGAAGACCACGTCCTCGGGGCCCAGAGGCTTCGCACGGGGGTCGCTGACATTGATGACCGGCAAGAAGGCCACGCTGTTGTGCAGGAAGAATGCCCCTGACAGGCGCCGGTCCTCGTTGGCGTAGCCGAGCAAGGTATCTCCGAAGAGCCACATGTACTTTCCGTGCTCCGCCTCCCCCACGTCTCCCTCTTTCTTCGGCCCCTCTGTTCTCCCATCTCCTGGCCCCTGAGTCGCATCCGACGTCGAAGTCGCCACACCAGAGGTGCGCAGGCCCGTGGGGTGCCGGGGGGGAACCGGAAGGACGTGGCGACATCAGCGCCCAACCAGCCCGCGTTCCGCACCGAGAACAAAGGCTGGAGGTCCTCCGCCTCGGTCGCGATGATCTCGATGCCCCGCCAGGAGCTCCGCGTCACGCCTGCTGCCTCCTCGGGGGAGAGGCCTTGGAGCCCATCGGTCCGCTTGGGAGGGCGCTCAAGATTCAAGCCTCGGTATTGCATGAATTCGTCCTGGGTGAGGGTGACCAGGCTTCCCAAGGTCAGGACGGCGGCAGGATCGGGCAGCCGCAGGCTCACCATGGACGGAGAGGGAGCAGCTTCGCCTTCTTTACGATACCTATCCAACGCAACTTCGGACTGTATGCGGCTGGACGGCGACGTCGGAGAGGAAGAGGAAACAGCCGCCGCGATGGCTGCAACAGACGGATCAAGTAGGACGTCACCGGCGTCAAACAGAGCCGAGGGAAGGGAAAGCGGGGGTCTTCGCCCCTGAGAAAGGCGCGAAAGAGAAGCGTCTTTAGGAGCATTCGTCGGGGACGGCGTGGAGGCAGGGAGGGTGTCTGTGAGAGGGGAAGCCGCCAACGCGACCACCATGAGCCGGTACAACTCCGACGTGAAGACGCTCTTGTGATAGGCGATCCATCGCGCGTCGATCGCCTTGGGCACGTTCCAAGTCAAGTGCAGTGCCGCCTCTCCCTTCCCTTTCCTGGCCAGCACGTGCTGCTCCGCAAATTTCCGTCCGAAGGCCCAGAGCCCCTCCTCGTCCACGGCCCTGTGCGCCGCCATGTACCCGAGCCTCCGGTCCGTCATCCTCAAGGCGTGGAATGGGTCTAGGAGCACGTCTTGGCTCAAGAGGGTGTCCTCGCTCAGGTGCAGGATCCACTCGAACTCCTGTGCCAGCAGGCGCGGGGCCTCCGAGACCTGGAAATCCCAGAGGGCACGCTCGTACGCCGCCGCCTCCGGCCTGAGGATGGCCGGTTTCCTCTCCGTTCCCGAAGACCCCTGCGCTTGCAGGGCTTGGTGCTGCTCCAAGAGATCGGGGACCGGGCGAAAGTCTACAATGCTGGACGGGACAGTGGCCTGCAAGTGGTCTCGGGAATCTTGCGTCAAGTTTTCGGAGGCTAGATACACGACGACGGGATATCGATGCAGGCGCAAGAAATGCTCGTGCAGCCGCCTGAGCAATTGTCCGAGCGCGTCTTCCGTGCGGCGAGGCGTTACAACCAGATATACTACTCCAGAAAGCCCCTGGTTGCCTCCTGCCCCCGTTGAATCCGCATCGGCCACAGCTTCCCGGAAAAGCCTGGCCTCGAGGCTGGGCGGTGCTCGACTATGCTTGCCATGTCCCATCGACCACGCCGCTGAGTTGGTGGCCTGAGCAGCCATCGTGGACGCCTCAAGGCCGTACTCGGTGGTACAGCAATGGGTTCCTAAAATTGGCACGTCTTGGGATGGGGGAGGGCCCAACATGACTCGGGAGGGGAGACTCCCTCTCTCCAGGAGGCGTTGACGCCGGCTTTCATTGTGTGATATCGTGAGCACCAGTCCCAGGATGACCAAACCAGCAAAAGCCATCCATGCTCCAAGTATCAACAGGGATCGCTGCTTTCTCCAGACAGGCGTGGCACCCGAAAACTGGCTTTGAATTGGTCTCAATGAAGCATGGGCGGCCTGACTCGTTTGAGAGGGTGGACTTCTCGTCAACGTCGAGGGTTCATCTGCGCGTGGCATAATTTCCTCATCATTCGGAACAGACATCTAATGCCGGTTTTCTTCTGTAATGCCCGTAACCGGGATACAACCCCCTGCTGTAGTTATCGGGAAAGTCCAATAAGAACAATGAACAGAAAGCGCTTCAAGACGTTGCCCTTCTCTTTGGACTGCAACCGCCCCGAAAAACAAGGCCTTGCAAGTGGGACAATTGTGCACAATGATAAATTTAAAGCCCTATTCATAGAAACCACTTATAACGAATGCGTTGTACAAGAGCAATAGAGACGCCCAAAAGTCTGGCAAAGGTGCATACGCTCCAAGGATAGCTATCAGCGGTGTATCGGATCGATCGATCCGATCCCCTCCCTCGAAGGAGCTGCTACAACTTGGGAAGAAAGCCTTTTGATTCGTGTGTATTGTATGCTTTCTGAGATTGTCCCTTCTCTTGGCTCAATATGGCTGGAAATGAGGGGCAAATTTTTTGCCTTTCTTTTGCTTGCGGTCGAATGCGGTGCTTTGGTTGACCTGCCCCTCCTGTTCCTTCTCATTCCACAGACAGAGACGCGCGTCCTCCCCTCCCGTAACCCAGGTGCCGTTGTGAGAATCAACAGCACGCACCAAGCACTTATGTCCGCTTTCAAGCCGGAGAAGAGGGTGCATCTCTCCCCCAGGCTGTACCTCCACGACAGTGACGGATCCCTCCACATCACTCAAGGCCAGCCTGAGACGGTCCGTTCCCTGGTCATAATGGTACTGGATCGAGAACAATGCCTTTTCTCGATTAAAACTTCCAGCACTTTGTCGTAAATCTTCCACATCTAACGCCCTTAAAGCTGAGGGCCAGTGCCACACACTTGTCCCCTCGCTGCCTGTCAAGAGCGCCAACCCGTCTCCTTTGGCCCCGAAGAAAGTCATGTCCCTGACAGGGCTCTCCGCGTTCAAGATGCAGGCCAGCGCCTCATCGGCCTGACTCACTCCTGTATCATACAAACATACCAGCCCGTCCTCTGAGGCTGACGCCAATGTCGTGGTTTGTGAGGGGTGGAAGACCACCTTCGTCACCATGTCCGTGTGGACGTCCGCGTATCGCCCCAGCCTCTCTCCACTTCCTCTGCTACCTCCTTGTGCTCCTCCACTTGCTCCTCTAGATTCCTGCTTCGTTTGACGAGCATCGAAAAAATCCACATGGCATCCCACCCCCACGGCCAACAAGCCCGACCCTTTTCCAAAGGCGCAGCTGAGGGCTTCGTCGACTTGCTGAATCACACTCACACAGCCAGATTGCACCCGTAGATCCCACAAGCGCACAGTTTTATCCTCAGAAGAGGAAGCGAGAAGGGACGGATGATCCGGCGAGGGACAAAGGCCGGTCAGAGGACCCAAGTGCCCTTCCAGGGCAGAGGAGGATTTAGGCTCGAGCGTGTAACGATCGTAGATTTTGATTTGATAGTTTGACAGCGCAGCAGCCAAAGTACTACCGTCAACAGTGTGTACACAATGAAGGACGTACCTAGACGGGTTTTGCGTCGGAACGGACGTGGCGAGCGTCGTTGAGTTTGGACTTCACTGACCTCCCGACCACCAAACTCGGATACATTCCTTAAAAGATACATTTATTGGTCTCGCAGCCCGATCCCAAACTTACTCATTCTCGTCGCCATTGAATTCTTCTGTTTGCCTACTGATAGGTGTCTGCAACGTGGTAATTTGTACTTTGGATGGTCGGAGCAATCGAGGCGTTGGATAGGTCGCTAGTAGGGCGCCGCTCGTCGTGGAAGCCATCATTTACTCGTCTACCATTCCGAGCAAATGATCCCTGTGGCATAAAGAGAAAAATATCGATACGTGGTTTAACATTGGCTGATATTTGTGTGAGTCTCAAGGCTGTCCAGATGCGCCGATGTGATGGCGCAAGTACCTCTGGGAGCACGCGCTTGAAGCATCCGGCGATACGCCATTGCCTTCTTCTATTCACTTGGGCTCGCATTTCTTCTTATATCAAGAACACTTTGGCTCTTTGCAGCCATATAGGGAGTGCCCAGCGAGGGATTGTACGTCCATCCTCATGTCCTCTGCTCCTGCATCGTCCTCCTCGTCCGCGTCGGCCCTGCCTTCCCCTTTTAACGGCTGGCCCTCTTTGCAAAGGGCTGTGTCCGAAGCACAACACAAGCGCCCCTCCGCCTCATCGAGTGCCCGCGCGAAGCATCATCGTCCTCCTCCATCTTTTGAAGTTCAAGAACTGGGCCCGGGGCTCTTGACAATCTCCGATGTCTTCACCACTGCGCAGTGCCGCCGTATGGTGGAGGCCGCAGAGGCCCGGGGCATGACTCCCACCAACCCTCGGAACCTACCTCCGCTCAAAGGACATGCTTTTCGAAACAATGACCGTCTTTCGGTGCATGATGCTGCCTTTGCAGCGGAGCTCTTCGACTTCCTGAGCCCTGCCTTGCACACGATCGTGCGTGTTGAGGACGGGGCCCAGCCCTGTGGCCTCTCCCCCCATTTTCGTTTCTACCGGTACCGAAAAGGTAAGGGGTGGGAAAGTAAAGGCAGGAATGAGAGGAGGGGAGTCCTCTCAAGGCGCATCGAGGAAGAGGATGTGTACGAGCTTCTCGACCTTTTGCCACCAGCATGACCCCGTCGCGTCCCTCTGGCTGGCTCTTCAGGTGGCTGTCACGTCATGCTTCACTTTTCCTCGCTACTGACGCAATTTTTCTACATACCTGTGTAAGATGCCTGGTTTGGGCCTCACATCGATGAGACACAGCTGAGCGGCGACGGGCAGATGGAGAGCGAGTTCACCATGCTCATCTATTTGACCGGTGTAGATGATGATTGCCCCCTGGATCCGAAGCTAGGGCCCCTCAAAGGGGGGGCGACGCGGTTCCATCACCATCGACATGCGGCACTCGACGTGGAGCCACGGACCGGCCTGGTGTGCTTGCACTGGCAGCTGCATGATTGTCTTCACGAGGGGACACGGGTGTTAGGGGGGGGTGAAGTGGCTGTTAAGGACAGACCTGTATTTTCCCCGACTAAGCAAAGTGGCGCGAATGGCGGCCTCCAAGCCGAAAAGGACCGGGGAGGGAGGGGTAAAGGGTGGTAAAGGGAGCAAGAGAGGTGGAAAAAGCTGTACGGAAAGCCTGCTTGCCGAAACGAGTGAAAAGAAATCCCAAAAATAATGAGGCCCTCGGTGTTTTTTTCAGTCATTTTTAACTTTTAAAGAGGTGTGCTTGAGGGGACTGCGTCTCAGCCGTAAGGACCAATTTCCTGGTCTCGACTCGTATTTCTGCCTTCCATGCTTTGAGGTAGCCTTAGGGTATCTTTTTGATATGTAAATATCGCTTCTTTCAGTTTCCCTTTTCGGCCGCGATTGTCAAAGATGGCGCCACCATCGATTTCACTTTCACACAACCCCGCTCCAGTTACGACACGTATGCGTCTTCACTCCCCCCGACGCGGCCAAAAGGCATACGTGTGCGAGGAATTTAGCCGGTCATAGTAATGATTCTTAATGTTTCTCCACCCAATGCAAAGGCCGTGACTCAGAAGTACCAAAACATCGCCTACTTTGTCCATTCGTCTATATTAGGGGGTCATGAGCTCTGGTCAGACATATGTGCCTCGCATGACTTCATCTCCCACTCATCTCCCTACACGAGCGATAATTCTTTTGAAAAGACCATTTCTTGACGACCTTAATGCAACTTTATAATGCAAAACGCAGGAAAACATTATTACCATACGCTTTTTCTGTCTTATATGGAGATCTATTCCATTCCTGTTGGCATACCTCCTCATATTACTGCGCTCGACAAGCGGCTCCGCTAAACCCTCAGCTACCTTTTTGGGCCCCTGGTCACTTGGACGTAACCCACCTCCAGCAGCTAAAACAAGCATAACAAATATGCTCAGTGAGGTTTCATCCTCAACGACAGGTACGGAGCGCAAGTGGGATGCCGTGCAAGGCGTTTGGGTCGGCTCCCGGGCCCTCGCAGACGAGGCCAACGATGTGCCATCTCCTTTGTACATTTTTGGCTACGGATCACTCATGTTCCGTCCTCAGGAATCGTTTGCGAGTTGCGAGAGAGTCGACGGCGTTGTGAAGGGTTGGAAGCGAGTGTGGGCGCAACGAAGCTGCGACCACAGGGGGGAACCGCACATGCCCGGTCTTGTGGTGACGGTACTAAGCGACTCCGAGCTGGAGACAATGGGCATGCGGGAGGCGACGGATCCGCCATCACGCGTGCATGGAGTGGCGTACCGAATCCCCGACGAAAACGTCGCGCGCGTGCTGGATGAGCTGGATTTCAGGGAAAAGGGTGGCTATACTCGGGCCGTTGTGGAGGTCAAGCCCACGACATCTTCAACCGGGGGCACGGATAAGAGCGGCAGACAAGAGGTGATTAGGGCACTGCTTTACACTGCCAATGCAGACAACCCAAACTTCCACTATCCCAGTACGCTAGAAGAGGCAGCCCATATCGTGGCCTGGTCCCGAGGGCCGTCGGGGGAAAATCGAGAGTACTTGTTTAAGATTGAGGCTTACCTGCGTCGTGCGGGGGCCGAGTGCCCAGAGACCTTCGCTCTGACCACGCGTGTCGAGGAAGTCTTGGAGAGAGGCTTGGACCGCCGGGGGAGTCTGGATGCACGCTTTCGGCGCGACCTGGTGGTGGTGTCGGGGACCCAGGCCCGCGGAGGGGCCGAGGGGATATGGGCCGTTTGGCAGCGCTTGAGACTGCACGCGTGGGGTTCAAATCAACACGGACAGCTGGGCAAGAGGGTGGAGGCGGTGGGTGATGGAGCATTTGACCTGGATATGGGCGTCAAGACCGACAAGGACGACGAATGGCCGTTGCCGCAACCAACGGTCGTGGAGGTGGATGTCGCCACCACGGTCTCGCTTCAGAGTGGTTCGCGCGCCCAGGCCGCAGACGAACACCGCCTCCTGGTCCGACAGCTCGCGGCCGGCGGGGGGCACAGTGCAATTGTGACAGGCGAGGACCGGCTGTACCTGTGGGGGTGGAATGAGGCTGGGCAGGTAGGAGGGAGCAAGTACGCGACTCTGGACGGCACGCACCGAGTCCACGTCTTCCCTCGCCGAGTGGCCATGGTCGCCTTGGGCCACGCGCACACTTTGGTGTTGGAGAAGGAGACGGGGAAGCTGTACGGAGTGGGGGGCAATGCGGCCGGGGAGGCGACAGGCGTGGTCATGGAGCAACGCAAGCAGTGCCGCGCAGTGGGCGGTGGATTAGTGACCTTGGACGGAGGTAGCGACCCGATTCGATTCAGTTGGTGCGATGCGGGGGTCCGGCATTCTGCCGGGGTGACGAGGGATGATGGGCGCTTGGTCACCTGGGGCGTGGGCCGGTCGGGGGCTTGTTTGCCGGCCTCGGTGAGAGGCTGGGCGCCCGTGGATGGCGCGAAGGTACGCAAGGTCTGGTGTGGGTGGCAGCACACAGTTGTATTGGACGATAGAGGACGAGTTTGGACCTTGGGAGCGAATAAATACGGTCAGCTGGGGCGACGGGGCAGTCAAAACGACGGGTTGCCTGAGCTAGTGGAGTGGCCCGAGGGTGCTGGAAGGGAGGGAAAAGGAGTGCGGGTGGAAGAGGTGGCCTGCGGTTGGTCGCATGTACTTGTCAAGACACACGATGGAGAGATCTGGGGCTGGGGCCGCAACACATTCGGGCAGTTGGGCTCGGAGGCAGGTGCGGAGCCGGAGACCATCGGCAGAGACTACCTTCCGCGTCCACTCTTGAAAGACAAGGACCGGCTGCCTCATGGCGTGCAGGTCGACAAGGTCACGTGCGGGTCCGAAAGCAGTATGTTGGTGGGAAAGGACGGCTCTTTGTGGGTGTGTGGGTGGAATGAACATGGAAACTTGGGCGTGGGCGATGGAAAGGACCGGAAATCGTGGACCCTGGTCCCGGGACTGTCGGCGGGCTCAGGAGGCGGGAAAATGCTGGTGGCGTGTGGGGGTGCGCACACCCTTGCCATGTCTAGGGAGCCGTCCGACACCAGTGTGAGATGATGGAGCATAAATTGTGCGCAATTTCATAAATGCAGACCGATAAAAAAGGGGCATCAGACCGTTTCCCTCCGATTTCTTCTTCTCCTTTGAAAGCCACGCTTCCACATGCATTCACCCAACATGGCCTTGCCCTGCACTTGACACCCGCCATTCATGGCATTTTATAGCGCTAATATGCCCATCTCCTTCCGTGATCCATCCCTTATTACTTCTGTCTTCATCCTACGTGCTAGTAAGCACCTGCGTGTTATGCTTTGAAACAACAAAGGCGGCAAAGACCGGTGGCTAAGGTCCCACAGCGACAGGGCTCGGCTTGCGCGGCGAAGGTAAGTTCTTGTCGAGGGCCAAAAGCGCCTGCTCGATCTCGCGGGAGCTTAGGGTCGCGTGCTCCAATA